CTGCCATTCTTTCTTTCTTTCTTTCTTTTTTTTTTTTTTTTTCATCATTTAACCTTTTATTGAACGCGAGAAAAAAATTTGCTCCTCGAATCCTTGATTGATAATTTTCTGCGCGTTTCGTCCGCCATTGTGTGATCCGGTGATCATGTGTTAAGGATAGTTATACTTTTAACTCTTGATTATTAATGATTAGTATATAAATTATAGGTGCAATGTTGTCTTGTGCGTCTGGTCTGTATTATATTTTACGCACAATTCGAGATGTTAATCAACGATACCGAGAGACGCGCTATATTTTTGGCTACTCTAAAATGATTATCTCTGTGATTAGTATCTTTTATATTTTCTGTTCTTTACAAATATATTAGCGTGAAACAAGGACGTATCGATAGGTGCGTGATGATGCCAATTCAAGATTTAATTTAGCGAGACTAAAAAGAAAAATAGTTTTTATTTCTTCGTTTACTATTGCATTTATAAATATTGAATGAGATAGATAACATTAAAAAATATTTTCTAAATTCTTGAGAAAAATGTATTCGTTTGATTTAAATTGAAATTGTACATCAATTAGAAAAGTGCACAAATGTATACATGTATGTGCACTAAGATCGCTTCATAAACACTTATTTCATAAGAAATGTGTAAATAGAAAGAAAATTAGATGATAAAGATAAATGATAATATTAAAATTATGTGTTAATTTATCCATATTTTATTTTCATAATGCATTTATAATATACATAAGAAATAATTATTAAAAAAGAATGAAAAAAATATTTTTATTTTATCATAAAAAAATGAATTATTCTTCTCCACTTTTAATCTTACATATTTTGAAATTAAAAAAGATTAAGACTAAGATTAGTCATCATACAATATATTTTAAAAACTTCATTCTTTAAATTTTTGACTTTTAAATTTCTTTTCAATTTTATTCTTTCTTTCATTTTCTATTTTTTAATACAATGTTTATTTATATTGTTATTTATATGTACTTAATGTCAAACATAATTTTGTTAAGAATTGGAGAAAATTAATCGATAATTTGTAATAACTCATGCCTATAATTTTGTTGCAATTATCAACTTAAATTTCCAACTCATAAATCCTGCAAACTCGTAAATCTTTATTCGTGATACTTGCAATGGTTTCGTTCAGTGCACGATTTCCATGATTCACAGACATCAATGAATAACGTTACAGATAATTGAAATGATGGTCTGGCAATTATTTTCTTTTATTGTATCAAAAGGTTGGATGTACTATAAATTAGAAATAGTTTTTTTCCATAGTAATTGGGCTTCAATAATTTGTTTTTGTATTTTTTAGTTTTATCTTTGGAATTTTTATATTTAATCAATAGATAATAGAATTAATCAAAATTGTTCATCATTGCTCCTAAAATAATCGAATTGTAATATCTTTTGTGAACGTAATAAAAACATTTGTCTTATTTATAAATTTTTATAAATTTTTAAATAGTTCTTTAAACTTTATCACACGGGTATATTTCCAATGAAAATTCGATTTTAGGAATTGAATTTAAAGATTGTTTTGAATGATATAATATACACATAGGTGATACGTTATTAATTCTATTCAGTTATTTGGCTAATTGATAAAACTTCTTCTCGAGGGGGATTATATGTATAAATAGAATGTCTTGCAGTGATAAACATTTACTTTCCTCGCAGACTCTTACATTTAATGTTCGCGATATCAAATAGAAATGAAAATATTTTCTAATATTTCGGGAATTTGCTATATGTGTCGATCGAAATCCATTTTTATTGCATAATTCTTATTATTCTTATTTTTATAATTTGTATATATTTCTTTTTCATATTTTTCAAGATTGTCAAATTATTAAATGAATTTTACAATATAAATTTATTTTTAATTTGATAATTCAATATATCTTACCTAAATTCAAATCATGGAAATAACTATAATTTTTAATTTCTTAAAGATTATTAAATTCTGTATTAATACTTTATCGTATATATATTAAAATTAACTTACCAATTTATATCTCGTTGGAAAGTAGAAAACAAAAATGAGTTTGTCTACTGCAATCATCACTGGAGGTGCAAGAATATTTCGAAAGGATCGTAAAATCATCAAGCTTATCGTTATGAGTGTAATGACACCTACAATTAACCTGAAAATTGATAAAAAAAGAAACAGAAAATTAATAAAAAAAATCTTTTTTAAAATGCAAAAACTATTAATAAAGGTTAGTACAATCTTTAAAAAATGGAAATGCAAAATTTGAGCAAATAATTAAAATTAATTTAAAATAGAAATAGTCACATTTTACACGTTCAATTAATGCTGGCTAAACAAAACAAACTGAACTACTGCTACCATTAATATTTTGTCATCAAAATATTGAAAGCAATTCTCTTTAACATCATATTTTTACATACTTGAACGTGAAACGAGACACCCACTATCTCGACAGTGCTTCCATATATTCCTTTAAAATATAAATAAATTATCGTGTTCTATTTGTATAAATATATAAGATGTAGAAAAATTTAAGATGTAGAAAGTTTAAAAGAAAATACATTCACCATAACTAAAATAATCTATTATATTATATTCTATTTATTATATTACTTATTTTTAAGTAATTAAATGATTCCCAAAGGATATGCGTTAATAGAATTCGAGATGAAATTAAATAGGTGCGCCGTCTCAAAAAAGCAAATATTTTTTATTTTTTTTTTAAATTATATAATTATATTAAATTATATAAATTTAATTATTATTATATTATTATTAAATTATATAAAGTCAATTTTTTTTACAAAAGTAATAAATTTTGAAATTTTAATACGAAATATGATTAAAAAAATTTGGGAATCATTGAATTAAAAGATTAATCTATAGAATATAATTTTTTAATTAGTTTTTTGAAGAAAGTGCAAATCTTACCAAATATGATTCAAGAAGAAGTAATCGAAAATAGTCCAAGAGCCTTTCCAGTGCATATTACAAGCAATTCCAAAGATATACGTGTACAGAATTTGCAAGCTCTTACAATAGATTTTGCTCAGCCAGGTTTTTTTTTTCCATATTTTAATGATATGAGTGTGTATGAAATTTTTCATAATCGCAAAATTTACGTGTACCAAAAGACCCATAAAAAATATGAACAATCCAGGAAACCTTGGGACAATGGATAATTTAATCTATTTTCTTTAGATTTTGTCATAAATTTTTTTTAAAAGTTAAGTTAAATCGCTAAGTTACGTTAAAATGCTTCATTTTAATCGAATTTTCTGGCATTCGATAATTTTCTTATATAATACTTGTCAAAATAATTTAAATAATTCAAATTGTGAATCATTTTAATTGAAAAGCTATTAAACATTCCACTTTTATTTATGGACTTTGCGTATCTTTTATCACTATACAAGGTTAATTCTAGACAAACGTCTAGACAAACTTAAACTTACTTATCTTTATAAATGTCCATCAATGTCCATGTTCCTCTCCAAAAACCAATGGTCATCGGTGTAATAAAATTAAGCGACAGAAAAACATCGATTACCGATAAAATTCGTTTCTTTTTCTTCAATTTTCGATCGATAAGATCGATCTGATCGATCTTGAAAATTAATCAAGAAACAAGATAAAATATTCATCACAAATCGCGTTCAAATATGTTAAATGTAACAAAAAGTTACCTTAGAATCGCTCTTTACTCGATCATCTTCGTTTACTTTCGATTCTTTCAATTTTTGCAACTCCTTTTCTTCGTTCCTCTCATCCATATCACTAATATTCGAATCTTCACTTTGTTCAATATCTTTCGATTGTAGATCGATTCTCAGTGAAAGAAAAACATCCTTTTTTGCCTGATTTAATTTTTTAAAATGTTCCTTAACAATGTTCTCATCAAAAGACGAAACTTTCAACTCGGCATAATCATCCCTTTTAAACATCCCTTTTTCGGAGATGTTATTCAAACTTTTTGCCTTTCTCGCGCTCAAATTTAACATATTTTCAAGGATCAAAGATATCGACACTTATGTGACACGACGATCGATAACACTTAATAATAGTGACACTTTAAAGTAAACTAAACTTCTGTCGACATTGCAGTGCGAATAATACTGCGCAAAATCCGCACTTGGTGTATTTTTTTCATTTGTATCTAATAGCATTCGAATCAATTGAGGATAAATTTCAATAAGGATAATCTGATCCTGAGATAGATATTTGCAAATAGATAGAATTATTTTTAGTTTGATCGCCATCTGCCGTAACATATGCGAATAGATAAGTTACTAAATTTTGTCAAATTAATAACAATTATCAATAAAAAAAATGTGGTAAAGAAGGATAGAGGATTGAAATGAATGTTTTTACAAGATATATGAATTTTCTTAATCTATTTTATTTTTGTATGTATTATTTGCAAACTTGAAGAACATTTTCTTCGTTTATGTATTCAATCGTTCGATGTATCCAATTTTTTAATTGGTTAGATTTACATTATGTTCTTATATTTAGAGTGTCTATTTTTTAACATTTTATCATTTTTCTTTTACAGGTAAACAAAGTGTCATTCACTTTGATTATAAGTGAGATTATACAGGAGACGATCAATGAGATTAAAATCTATTTCTGAATGTAATCTCATAAACACATGGTTTATACTTTGGTAATAACATTAATAAAAGCATTATTATAACTCTTTCTTCATTCATTAATTATTATTAATCCAGATGATTAAATATAAATAATCTTAAATCTGAACGTTTCTAATTAACCATTCAATGTGAAAAAGTTGCGAATTTCTTAGAAACTTGGCCACCTTGAAAAATCTTGAAAAATCCAGAATCGCGTAAAGAAAAAGATTCAGTTGAAATTGTAATACTTCGCTTACTTTACTTATTATTGAAACAGAAAGATTCCTCCGATATAATTCACGTTGGAGCAGATGAATTTTTATTATTTATTTTTACAATGTCGAATATTTTATTAGGATTTCATTAATAGAATTCATTACTTGATATTTGGGAGAGAAAAATTGGTAAAAAGTTACAAAATGACAACATTTTAATGGCGGTATAAACGACGTCACGAGTATAATGAACTTGAAAGAGTAGTTAATGCGAAGTGTCAATAAGCAGTTTATAAGCGATATGCACACTTCATTTATACATTTTTCAACGGCGCTTCTTCAGATGCTACTGATAAAATTAATCGTGGCGCCCGCCAAGACACGTGCTTTGTTTCGATAAATGCAAAATATAAGATTTAATTGTAGAAATGCAAAGTTGAAATATGCGTGGAAAAGCACGTGAATTTGTTCTATTAATGTTAGATTTGTCAATGTTTCAAGGTGATGCAGGTGATAATATAATCGGAGTGTTGATAAATGCATAT